ATAGTTAGCACTTATTTGCATCCTTAGGTATGAGAACAGCTTTAAAAAAAATCGTTCTTTAATGTTCCTTTATAGTCTGGACCCTATATTAGCTATTTGAGAAGTGAAGGTCAGTAATTACAGTGAAAATACGCAAAGGAAAATGTAGAGAATATCTTGCTTCAAAGATACAGAGAGGGACTTAGATGGGAGGATCAAATGACAGCTGCTCCAGCCTAAGAAAGTCTCAAGCAACATTTAAGCAGCATTATTTTAGGACATCAAAGTTCATCTTCAGATTTAAGGAGTGGCTGGAAAATTCTTACAGCTCGTGTTACAGTTTGGGTGTGCTGTTGCATTTTTTATGGTAGAATACTACTGCACAATTGTGATTTTCTTCTTTTCTTATGCTTCTTTCACAACTGAGAAGATAACATGCTGTCAGTCTGAAGCACCCTAGAAATAAAAACAAGGGTTTTAAAAACATACTTTGCTTTTCCTCAAGTATCTCGTTTCTCCACCCTTCATTTTGCTGAATGCACTGATGACTATACCCGAGGCAGTTTTGCAGTTGTTTTTCAATCCTCCCTTTCATCAGCTTCACTTTTTATTATGAGTCTAAAAGAAATGTATTCATTTCTATAAAGAATTGCATGTTTTTTCAAGATAAAACTTAATCAAGCATTGCCTTGAAAGTGGCAGCTAATTACTAGGCACCTCTGTAAGGCCGACATGCCATGCAGAGATAATTCAGTGCTCTCCTGCCTCTTCCCCCGTTTGAGTTGCTGAAAGCACGTCCCCACTCCAGCATCTCTCCCTTGGTCTCCCCTGTGCCAATATAGTTTCTTACAGAAAGACTTTATTCCCAACACTTGAAGTTATAGCCAGATCTGCTGCTGCAGCAACACTCGAGCACTGTCCCCATCCCACTGCGAGGCCTCCAAACCAGCCTCCTTCTGATCGGATGTCTTCCCAAACCCTGACGGGGAGCAGAAGGGGGTCCTCTCCTTCAGCACAGTTGCCATGCCCCCTTGGACCTCCTGCTGCTTAAACTAATCCGGGATTGCTTACAATACGTGCACTTAGAGTGTGAGTTTGGGATATGTGGCAACCCAACAGAAAAATTGTATCTGTGTCCTTTGGTCTCAAACTCCAGCTCAGCACTGCAGAATGACATTCACATGACGGTTTCCAAAGAATGGGGAAAGCCTTTAACTAGCACTCCCCTGTGCTACTCTGCAAGTAATCAAAGCCATTATTAATACAGAAAGGATCAAGAAGAAAACCCAGACCCTCTTAAAAGCAGTGCACTTCCTTTCAGTCACACCCTGCTTCTGGTCATTTGACCAAATGCAGGAGGTGAATAACCTCTACATTTCTGTCACAGGGCTGTACTGTTGGAATTAATAGAAGTGCCTGAAAATCGATTCCTGGCATTGCAGTGTGCAGGCTGGGATTTTTTTCTGAGACGTCACAGAGCATCTGCTAGCAGTTATCTTTCTGTGCTAACTCCAGGTGAATTTGGAGATGCTATCTGTCCTCCTTGGAAGCTTTCATTCTGTTGAAAAGGAACTTAGAAACAAACATCTGCATCTGCTCAACTATAATTGTATATTTTCTTTCAGCTCCTGTTGAAGTCTCCAAAATATTTTAGCCACAATTTTATGGTTCGTGATGTGTAGAGGTGAAAAATAAAGAAAAAGGCAATAAAACTGGGCAGAAATGTACACAAGCAGTTATTCAGAGAGGTTGTAAAAGTGTCACATACTGGGTTTTATACTTTTATTACCCTCTAATTTCAGCTGTGCCGTTTCAGTTAGGGCCAGTATCTCATTTTTTAAGCACTGTTCTAGCATTCACTGGTGGCACTGATCTTAGAAAACTGTAAATTTCCTTCCTGAGAATCTCTGAAATAAAAGACAACTTGCCCATGATCTGAGGATTGCTGCTGGACAGAGAGCTTTACTTGCTGTGCAGACCCACTTGCGTGACCCACATGCGTGATTCTGGCAACTTTATTTCGGCAGCTTCCACCTATCCCTGCAGCCTGCAGAAGCATGGGTGCAGCCAGCACTGAGGAGGGCTCTGAGAGCTGCCACGGGCTTTGCTCACCTTTCTGTCTCCTGGGGGCCTTTTGCATGGCTTTTAATGCCATAGCAAATTGCGACGCAGTGCAATTTCCCTTTCTTTCATGGTGACCTGTGGGAAAATGTTATCTGTCATTTCCCAACAGCTCTCAGGGGCAGGAATAAGATGCTAACTAGCAGACTGGCAGAACTTGACTGGCACCTGCCCTGTCTGCGCTTCAGAGCAGGCCCATCAGCTGCTGACTTCTGCAGCAGACATGCTGTACCAGCACAAATTTTTAAGTTCAGCTCTATCACCAACCAGCAACATGCTCCACTGCTTTCAAAGGTTCAGCTGCTGTGGTGTTCTTGGGGCTCTCGTAGAAAAAGGAACAAAAAGAGGGTGAGTCAGGTGGCCGCAGTATTGCAAAACACTGCTGTTTTTCTTAAGTTGTGACGCTGGTGTCCCTGGAATCTCCACGATACAAACATTTTGCAGATTAAAAAGGGATTAGCAAACAGCCCGACTGCCAACAGTACCTAAAACATGCACAGATGTTTCCAGCTGGGTGACATCCACTGAAAGCACACAGGAAGCTTACATTTGTCTCTCATTTCTCTTTGCTAGGGTGGATCGTAGATTCCACTCAGTACAGAAAAGGCTATAAAATCACCAGGCACCACTTGACTCTCTCACAGTGACCCTATGTGGCTGCAGCCACCCCGGTTTCCAAATGCACACGTTTGTTTTTCCATGAGGTGGTCACTGCTCTTGTGCAGCTGAAGGTAGCGAGATCTCCAATTTCAAAGCAGGTTGAATTTGGACTCCCTCCTTTTGTATTCACTAATGCAGTCAAAAAAACATGCTAACAAGGTACAAAATGGGCTCAAAAAAAAAAAGCTGAAATTGAGCAAGTGGCTGCTAGGAGCACTCCTGCTTGGGACTGGCTCTGCAGGAGCAGCTGCATTTCATGCATTGAAATAGTTAAATGTATGCCAAGTTGCCTTTGTATTGCTCTGAAGTCTTAATTAAAATGTTATGTGGCATGAAGTCACGTTTTCTGAACTATAATTTGCCTTATAAATCATTAATTAGGTACACACCAGTGGGTGGTTATCTTGCTCTCAAGGGGCAGCCATAAGTTTTCAACTGAACGTGTGTCAAAAATGATTGCTGGAAATCCAAGTGGGAAATGCTATAACCTATCTGGAAAGACTTCAAGGGAAAAGAGGAAAGGATATTGTCTTGTGTAGTAGAAATATGAGGGGAAAAAAGAGCAGTAAATAAGCCCTTTCCTCTTTTCCCTTCCAGTCTATCTCATGTTTTAGTAAGGGATGAGTGAGCTGGGCTACACCTACAGAATGTACACAGACAGATCTGCAGCACATGGTAAGCGGAGAGAAAAATGTTTGCAGCCCACTTGGCATTAGGAAGACCGAGAGTGGCAAACTGGAGAAAGAGAGGGAAGAAATGAAAGGGGTATAATGCATCCTTTGTACATTAAATCAGTCGGCTCTTGGGAAGAGGTTTTTGTCTGCTGATATTTTTGGTGTGGAAAAGATCTAGCCCTGGACTAGGAATGCCAGGCACTGCTGCGATGTGGATGAGCAATAATTGAAAGCAACCGAATCAATTACTCACTATTAATAACGCTTGGAACTTGTGCAACCTTTTAACAAGAAAATCTTAAATGCATGCACAATCCTCACTTCAGAAGCATCTGTCTGGGAAGGATTAGCAGGTACTGAAGAAAGTCTCTCAGAAACGGTTATCAGCCACTTGGTGCTGTCAGAACTCCTCTTTATCTTCTTGCAGCTGCAGTGCTGTAGCTTGCTTTTTTTCCCTCTCTGTCTTAAGCAGTGCATAAAGGTACACTGCCAATGATACGTGACCAGTTCCAATTGTTAGTTAGCTCAGTCATTCAAGCGTTTTAAATCTATTAACAAGCTGGCCATTAAATGAATCGCTGACCTATTTCTTTGCTACTTGAGCTGAGAAACCATAACTGATGACCTACAAAAGCATCAATGTGTTAAGAAAAGTTATTAGCTGCAGAACCGGAGCAGCAATTAGTCACTTCAGCTTCTTCCACCAGCTTGAATAGAAAGATTCACCATTGCCAACTTCCAGTAATTCACCAGAAACTAAATTTTGACAGAGACTGATGTCTGGGGGAGCAGCATGCATCTCTTCTTCCTCAGTTCAGTACTGGAAAGTGCTCTGGCAAGCATCTAAACTGGCTCAAAATTGGGATGCTCCAGAGCAAAACCTGGGCTGAGGACTCTGCTGGATGCAGACAGGTGAATTTTAGATCTCACAGCTGATTTTGCAATGGAGCAAACAAACCTATGATCCAAAAACACCCTTCTGCATGGGGCCAGGTGTGGCTGAGGTTCCTCTGTCCCCTTGTCGCCTACTGCCCTCAGAGCCACCTGCTCTGAACAAGAAGCTTTTATGTTTCTCTTTACCAAAATTATTCCAAAATACTGGATGCTAGGTGGGCCAGCATTTTTTCACCCATTTCTTAGAGCCAGCTCAGCTTTGGGGTCTGCCATTTGGGATGGAAAATGAGTACTGCGTTCGATGGAAACAGTAAGGTGTTACTGTGATGCACTGGCTCGGTCACCCCAGAAGACAACCTGAAGCTACCCAGCCTAACACAGACGTGTGGTGTTTGTGCCTAGACCATGCAGGGTGTAGATGCCACTTGGCCCCGCTGTGCTGAGGGCAGTGGATGTGCTGAGGGCCGTCCCAGCAGGCAGAAGCAGAGAGAGTGGGAAGCCCACACACAGGTGCCTCAGCTGGAGGAGCAGCCTCTTCTCGCTTTTGCAATCCCTGCCTGCTTGACAGGCCCGGACGGCATTACATCACTTCCTAAAAACAATCAAACGGAGCCCATCTCCCTAAGAAGCACAACTCAGAGGCACCGGGGGCAGGAAACAGGAAATGTAAATGCTCTGCCGAAGCCTGCAGAGAGCCGCGCAGGCCGAGGCAGCATGCGGGTGCCCGGCTGGGTGCCTCTGCTCAGCACCTTGCTCCTGGTCCGGCAGGGCTCAGCCCAAGACGGTGAGTGGCCCCTGGCATGGGGACCCTGGGAACTGGATGGGTCTTGGGGGGTGACGGCTGGCAGCTTGTCTCGGGGAGAGGGGACCTGCGGGAGCTTGCTTGCTGCTGCCAGCAGCCGTGTGCCACCTCCGCTTGCCTCGCTCCTTCCTGGCGGTGTCTTTTTATTGCACCTCCTCAGAGGTGAGGCTGTGTGATGGAGATTTAATCCGAAATGTCAGGCTAGGTTGGTGGGAACTGCTGTCTCCAGTCTATCCCATCGCCCTTTTTGGGTCTAATGTTAACCATTTCTTGTACCTTGCCAATCCCACACCCATACTGTTCACTGTATGCAATAGTAAAGCTGAAGACCAAGCTCAAGCTCTCCTTCCACTCAAAAGCCAGCTGCTCATTTCTGCAGCACTGATGATCCGAAACTCAAAAGAACAGCCAGTGCTGAGATAAATATTTGGCGGTCTGCCTTGCTGAGCGCTCAGGAGCTCAGAGGGCAGGGAGGCTGAGTGCTGGGGGCTCCTGCAATGGGCGTGCAGCTCACAGCTTGAGGTGCAGGGCTGCTCTGTGGGGACAGCCCGCCCCTGGTGGGGCCAAAGTACCTCCCGGTATCACGCCAGCCACTGCCTGATGCCTTGTTGTGGATTGGGAGTGTGTTAAAGCTGCGGGCAGGGAGAAATATGTGGATTGCGTTTTGGTTGTTCATTTTTTTTTCCTGAAAGTCAGTACTATTCTAGGCTGTATAATCAGGCTGCAGGTTCCAGGCGTGCTGCAGATCTTATCGCGGTTAGCGATCGTGCTTAGCTATAAGAATGAAGTAAGAGTTGTTACAAAATGGTTTGGTCTTGCCCGCGTTAAAGGCAGCCCCGCCGTGCTGCAGGCATGTCAGGAAAATGTGCTGCAGGCTTTGCACGTGCCGCATGATCAAAGCATCCATGGGAAGAAAAATCCCATGAGGAACAGAGCAGAGCAGAGGTCTCAATGAAGCAGAGAGGTAGGAGGAACAGTCCTGGAGGGATCTGGGTTTCTATAGGGACTTATACAAGCCACAGCTGGGCTGGGTGAATTGTGCTGCGGCTGGCCCTCCCAGGACATCCTGTGCGGTCACCATTTTCTGCTCACAGATCAACAGAGCAGCAGCTTTCTGGAAGTTTTCCTCCTGACTCCTCCAGCTCCAGACATGGCTCAGAAGCTCTGGGATCCCTGCAGTCTCACCTGCGCTATCTGGAAAGCACTTCCACAGCAGGCAATGAGAGCGTGATTAGACCCTGCAGCACAGACAGATGGCAGCCTTGTAAACTCTGTTCTCACACCGCATTGGAGCCTTGTAAAACTCTTGCCTTGCCATTTGGACTGTGTTGCACAGACAGCTTTGTCCTGGCCACCCTGCAATTCCTGAGGAGCGGTAGCACAGTGAGTATGCCCAGGTCCCAGTGCTGGCTTCATGCAGGGGGTCATGTATGTTAAATTTCAGTGAGTGACCCCTGGCTGTAATGTCTTGAGAGACTTCATGATTGCTGCTGAGCCCCTAGAGCTGTTGAATCATTAATTTCAGAGCTCTGCTGAGAGCAGGGAGCACTGAGAAGTATGCACCCATGTGTCTGGATGTGGCAAAGGTGCATATCACTAGCATTGAGCTGGAAGGGCATGGGATCAAACTGTAACTAAAGGCACAGTTTGCTCTGGAAAAGCTGTAGCTTTCAAGGTGATGGATGAGGCTGCAAGCTCAGGGTATGGCTCCAAGCACAGGACTGAACACACAACACTGGCCATTAAAAGAACTTTTAGGTGCAGTGGGAGCACAGCTTTCTATTGCCTAGTTAGGAGCTCGAACACTGGCATCCTGCTCCAGGAACTTCCCAGACAGCACTTTCCAAGCACCCCTCTCTAATGGACTCTTGCCTGCAGCTGACAGAGCAGCCTCCTTGAGATACTCACGGTGCCTTGCAGGGCCTGTGGCAGCGCCAGTAGCGACCTGCTGTAGCATGCAGTCTGGGCAGGCCCTGTGCATGGCAGGGAGTGGCTGCGCTCAGATCAGCACAGGACGAGGGGTGAGTCAGGCACAGCCAAGCCGCCACGTGCATGGCATGGAGCTGTGGGAGTGCATTGCCAGGAAGGGCAGAGGTTGGGAGTGGTGCTGCAAATGGAAGGGATCCTTACTCTGCAGGGCCTCCTGGTCTCTGCTGGATTTGCCTCCCTCTCCCAAGTCTTCCTGCTGCTGTGTTTGTATAACTTACAGGAAAGTATGGAAAAAACCAAAAATTCCCAAATTACTAAACTTGACTGTTCATTGACTGAGACCTGGTCCTTCCCAGCCCTCTTTCTTCTGCAAGTAGGAGCCGTAGTGTAGGTTGGAAAACTCCCTTCAAAAATTGCAGCCCACAAGCTTGATGAGAGCCCAGCGGGCGGAACGGGCCCTTGCCAGCAGAACTCAGTGTGCTGACTGCAAGCGTTTTATTTTGCCTCTCATCCAGCCACAACCAGAAACCTGTTTGCCTGCCTGCTTCATCGACAGCTCCTATCGCCACCTCCAAGTGCCTCAACACAAACCTCAGGGGAAGAAATGCAGCCACAGCAGAAATGCTATTTGTTTGCGGAGCTACTCAGGTCCTGGTACAAAAGCTGCTTGGGACATTCAGCTCGCTTCGCATGCCCTGAAAGGCAGGCTCGGAAGCAAAGATATCACAGCATCCCCCTGCTGGGGACCAGAGTGGCAGGCAGCAAGGTAGCATGGTATGCGCCACAGCTACAGGGGAACAAGGGAAACGAGAGCACGGTGCTTGCAGGAACCTTGTGCAATCAGCTGCCCTGATGCTGAAAGACAGTTAAATTGCTCGAAGAAAATGCCCTAGTGAGAGGAAATCTTGTCCAAAAAAGAGACTGCGTTTTGTCCCTGGAATGATGTAAAGTGAACAAAAATATGTGGCGACAAGGTCACTCCTTCCTGTAATTAGCCATTTTCTTCATCCAGAGACTAGAAAAGGTAATTCTATTTCATGCAGAGATAGATAGCTTGAAATCTGCTTTGCAGTTCAAATATAGGCAAATAAAAAGTAGTGGAGACATTGGAAATGTCTCTCTTGGAAATCAAACACAGCATATGCTGCAGCTGAAAGCCTGGTGCTGCATTTAATGAGATGTGACTGCTTGCTTTTGCTTTAGAGTCACCTCATGCTTCAGACATTAAAAAAATCCATCTTAGCTCTCCTAGTAAATGAAAAACAAACAATTTCCCCCACATCCTTTCCCCTCTGCACTATTTTTAGCAAGAGGCTCGTCCTTGTACATCTACCAGCCCAGGCAGCTGACAGGTGTCAGAGGGATGGCCACAGCAGAGAGAAAATAGAGGTTGCAGGAATGCACCCAGCGGTGCGTCCGCCCTGCCGGCAGCTCTCTGGCCACATGTACTGATGGAGGTAAACGTATGTGGTATAAATGGAGGAGGTGCAAACGCTGGGTCTATGAACTACCTCTGGAGAGAAGACAGATTGATAAAAAGAGTAATGGAGAGACTCTCTTCTTCCTGTCTTCTGTAATGAGAGGATTAATGAGAGCCAGCAGATCACAGGAGCATGTGCATAAGGAGTCACTGCCCGCAGGGATGCAGAGGCTGTGCTTTGCTCTCGGCTGAATGAGTAAGATTGCAGCAGGGAGGCTACTGACATGAAGCCCTTTGCCACCAAAGAGCTGACATTCACATTGTTGTGCTGCAGTGAAAGAGGTTGGTGGCCTTCGTAGCAGACAAATGCCTTACTTAAGTATCACAAGTCATTTAGTAAGTATTGACATTCTTTCCTAGAGTTAAGGAGAGGATGAAACAATCAGATGCCTGCACGATAACTGGCATAAAGAAGCAGATAGATTGCTGCTGTCTCACTCAGAGCATTACTGTCATTTGAAATTGGGCTTCCTGGCACATAGTCTCAGGGGATTCTCAGCTCCCTCTTGAGACAGACGTGGCAGGTGAGGATGTTACAGAGTGGTGAAGCAAGAGGTAGCGCTCTTACCTCAGTTTTCCTCTCTTTCTTAGTGTCCCTGGGAAGGACAGCATTCTGTCCTTCTGATTTCTCATTTGTAAAATGGTGATGATAACTGCTCATCTCTCAGGGCCATTATGAAGATTAATGTGTTTACCAAAGCATTTTAAATGCTAAGTGCTTTTGGATCCAGTCCTGTGAGATTTGAAATGCCAGCAATGAGGAGCTAAAAACCTGAAGCTCTAGCTAACTCAAGTGGAAACTCTTATCTGCCCAGCACCTGAGAACAGCAGAGACAATCATGTCACTGCAGAGGTCATGCCATTCCATTCTGCTTTGTGGCATAAATGCTGTGCCATGATGTCAACCTGTTGAAAGCAGGGGCGGGAACAAAAGTGTCCCTGAGCAAGCTGGCTGAAGAACCACATTGAGGTAGAAACTTGTAGCAGACTTGCCATCTAGTTCAGCATCCAAAGGCCGAGAATTCAGGTGCATGCACAAATTCATTGATTATCTTTCTTAAGTCTTGAATGAATAGCAAAGCTGCATGCTTTGAGTCATTAATAACATTGATGAAACCCACAAAATGTTAACTTGTCTCCCTGTGCTTGACAGGCTCTGAAAACGACGAGGATGGCTCAGGATATGGAACAGCAGCATTCCCCACTGCTACAGTGCCACCTCCTTCCTCTGTACCTCCCCTGTCCCCTACCCCTATGAGCAGCCCCCAGCCAGGGCTGGTTTCTGCAGAGCCCACCGAAGGCAGCCTGGAAATTGAAAGTACACCCAGCCCTGAACTGAGCGACACAAGCAGTAACGGGAGTCTAGAGACAGAAGAGCCATCTGTCCTAACGTATGCTGTGCCCGCAGTGGTGCTGGCCCTGCTGGTCTTACTGGTCATCATTTTTATAATAGTCCATAACCGGAAAAAGTCTAAGCAAGGTAAACTTCTCTTCTTGGGCATTGGGAAGCTATCTTTACCACACACTTGACATTTAACAAATTATTTCAAGCCTCAGGATGCCCCATTTAGAATGCTTGTCTCTGTTTTTAGTTCCATGTCTCTTGTGCAGAAAAGAAGAGGCACGCAGCAGCCCCACGTTGTGAGCTGTAGCTGTTTCTCAGCTCATGCCAGGTGACCATGGATGCACAGCGCCAAGCTGCAGCTCCACACAATACGCACAGTGGAATGGGGCCACAGCTGTGCAACTTTATCTTTGTGCTCAACAACCACAAACAAGGTGGTTCAAGCACTACTCCTGCCTTATACTGCCTGCAGGCCACAGCAAGGAAAACAGAATTTCAGGAAGCCACCTTCAACAGAGAAATCAGCAGTTCTGGAGCACAGAACAATAAAAAGCCATTCACATTGGCACTGTATTAATAAATGACCTTCTGAAGCGGTGGTACATGTGCCACGAAGGCAATTGATGAATTCATGAAGGTGACATTTGCCATGGCAATTTCAGCACACACTCACCCCTAGCAAACTCTCAGCTCCCAGACAGGTACCTTGTTGCCCTTTTCTAGTCTTCAACATGACCAAAGATCATCTTAAGATCTCCCACACAGTTCCCATTGCTTGGAGGTGGGATTTTGAGCACCGCTGAGGAAGGGGTGGATAGATCCATGGTCTTCGGGGATTCTGCAGCAAGGGAGTAATACTAGCACTGGTGTTGGCATGCACAGGCCATATTTAATTAAATATTAGTTGGTTTAAAATAGCATATAAGCATGCCTTGCTAGTGAACTGGGCTTTTGTGCACTCATGTCCATCACCACGCTGATATCCACCCACTCTCAGCCAGGCAGGGCGCATTATGAGCTTCATCAGTACACCCAGGATTAAAAATGGGTTGCTGTGAAAACTGCAGGCAAGGAGGGTGGGTTGTTCCATTTTTCTTCTAAAAGGGAAAGTTACACCATTGTAAACACATCTCATCAGAAACAATCCTGTTGAAGACTATCCTATAATACAGTGAATATACACAAACAAGGTAACTCAACACAAACTGTTCTTCTTTTCCAGATGAGCTGGGGAGTGAAAACGTGAAAAGGTAAAGTGTGTGCATATCACTTTTCCACCATTTAGTATAAGCTCTGTGTCATTTGTCCCTGTTTCCACGCTTATTTTCCCACTCTTTGGCTGAGGTGGAAAAAAAAAAAAAACACAACAAAACACAGTTAATAACTGCACAGCTCTGACTTAAGTGATAACTTTTATCGAGCTCCATCTTGCTAATCAGTGCTAGAAGATACAAAACTGGATTAATGGAGAAAAAATAACTTGCTTAAAATAATACTTGAACCATGTGACTCCAGGAACAATCAGTAAAAAGATGACTAAACACAGACATTTAAATAAATGCTGAATTAGGATAGCTATGATCTCTCCCTTTTAAGTCACTGTCACTGCTATTCAAGCTACAACAAAACTCAATCACTGGAGCAGCAGCGATGATAAGACACTATGCATTACACAGATGAACGCATGTCTGCCAGTTTGCCATTTGCAGGATGGAGAGGTTTGGGGTACCTATGCCAACCCCCTGCTCCCAGGCACCCCATGCCACACCATCTTGTCCCCAGACCATTCTTTGCACTGGTATCCCAGCGAGCCCTGCCATGCACAGCCCAGCTGTTGATGTCTGCTAGCTGCCATCACCTTCATACACTGTTCAGGTTGACCTCTTCCCGGGTCATTCACCTAGGATGGACTTCCAGAGTGCCTACATATGCCTGGAATATGAGACAGTCCTTATCAATTTGTTGATTTAAGCTTTTGTGTAATGCCTTTTTTCCCCTTCCTCTCAAGCCCTATTTTTGAAGAGGACACACCCTCTGTTATGGAGATAGAAATGGAAGAGCTCGATAAGTGGATGAACAGCATGAGCAAAAATGGTACATGGTAACCTCTCTATTCCATCATTCCTCTCTTTTTAGCTGACACAAATCCCACGCACAGAAAAGCAATGGAAGGCACTGAATTTGTGTCACTGATTTCCCTAACGAATTTTTAGTTGTGTTCTTGAATCTTCAACAGAAATAGCAGCACAAATGTCAGGGTAGGATTGTTCAGGAGTATTTTAGTTTGTGTGGGAGACTTTTAACATATGAGGGAATATCATAATTGTTTTGAATTTGCAGTAGGCATTTGTAAATACAAGTGCAAACAATTTATATTTTTAAACTCACATTTTAATGATAGATAGTAGTTTATTTGAACCACTTCATCCTTTCAGTCTTCTGCTCCTACAGATCTGTGCTCCACACTGTGCTGCTGTAGAAGATACAAGTATTTATTTGTAGCTCAGACCACTGCTTACTTAAAATTGCTGCAAACATCTTATGACTGCATCCCTCCACTCCTGGTGGGGTTTCTTGTACCACCACCACCGCATGAAGAGCAAGCTGCTCTTTGCTGCTGCTCCCCATCTTCTGCACCCTCTCCAGCAGATCTGCCAGCAATTGGTACTTTCTGTACCTCTCATTAGAAGCACTTTCTACTCCCTCACAGCTAACACTTTCAAGCATCTGCATTAACAGATATCCACTAGCTAGAAAGTGCTAGAACCTGGATATTTCCTCATTCTTAGTCTCTTGCCTTATACGCCAACAGTCCACTTACCTGATCTCCTCACGCTGTTTTGCTTTTCAAGACACAGAACCCTTTGGAGCATGTCTTTGTGTTAGTACAGCACTCCAGCCACATGATGGGGTTTTGATCTTCTTAGTCTGTAACCTCCAGTAGAAAACACATTCTAAGAGACTCTAGTAGAATAAAGGCAGTGAGCACAGCACGTGGGGAAGCAGTGCTGTAAAATAACTTTCAGTTCTCTGGACAGAAGGGATCAACCATTTTGTGTTTGTTTTTAAATAACATTCCCTAAACCCCAAATGGAACTACAACATATGGGTGCAGCCGTCAGCAGTGGAGGATTAACAAATTGTCCCCCAAGCCTTACCTCATGGGAAACAGTCCTACTAAGGAGAGACTTTGTGCATATGTATACAGAAAACTGAAGTATTCCTAACAAACAAATTACCATAATGGCTATCAAAGGGAAAAGGGATTTAAAACATAACATTTATACTGCTTGGAACATGGAGACTTAACATATAAAAGGGCGCAGAAGAGCAGATTTATACACCAGAGTCACTGCACAGAGAAGTTGACGCAATTCTGAAATAAACATTGACTAACAGCAAATAGTAATAATCATCTTGGTTTCTATCCTTTTTCAGCTGATTGTGAGTGTTTGCCAACTGTAAGAGAAGAAGAAAAAGAATCAGTGGCCAATCCAAGGTACTAAGAATTCATTATATTTCTTGAAGAAACACAGTCAATGCCAGTTGTTCCAAAATAACCTCATTTCTAAACTGTATAATAAATAGACCAACTAGGAGGCACATTTAAATTTTAGAGTGTTTTATGCATGAGAACTTAGGCTCCAGCTCAAACGTTTTGATGCTCCTTGAGTTTTAAATCAGTGAGCATCTGTAAACCCCTAACTAACCCTGCAGCAGCAAACCTGTGTGGGACAGACAAGAAGATGACACAGACACAGCTTACCTCACTGATCAGGCCATTGAAACAGGTGCCTGAGGTGCTAACATCAGTACTAAGATCAGCTTCCCAAAATTCTTCCCTAACAGTGTTAGGTTTTTTTTTGTTTGTTTGTTTTAAAATCACTGAGATTCAGTACAGGAAACTTCTCAGTGACTGATGTAGCACAGTAGCCTGGGCATTGGTTTCCTTCTTCATGCAAGGTGCTTGGGAGTTTCTGTTAAGGCTCAAGTGTTTTGAGCTATGATTTATATAAGACAACATTTTGAAAGTTTTGAAAGCATCCAAGACAAAACATTGCATTAATGACATTTTGATGTTTTCAGAATGCATGTTGTTCTAAAACTACTTCACAGAGCAGGTGACTTTTTAAACGTAAAATTTTAAAGAACACAGCAATTAAGGGTTTAATCTTAATTGACTACATTTCCTAAGCTCATCTTGCATGAAGTTTTGGAACATGCTTCATTTCAAAGTAAAAACATAGTTCAAGCAGTACCATTTTCTAGTTCCCATTCATTTCCCTGACTGAACATGTGTAACCTACTCCAGGTAACTCACTTCAGCAGGGAGTTGGACTAGATGATCTCTAGAGGTGTCTTCCAACAATTTTGTTATTATTAGGCAAAAAAAAAAAAAAAAGTTACTCCTCCCTGACCAAATAATGCCCAAACAAGTATGTGCAGATAAATACCTATTTTTGCATCTCTTGAGCAAGGAAGGTGAAAGGCCACCAAGTAAAACAAAATAAAGCTATTATATTGCAAAAACTTACTTATGAGCATCAAAGCTGTGAAGTTGCGCACCAGGGGCAAAGGATTGTAGCCCTAACTCCCTTCAAGGTGGTGCTCAGCTGCTCCACAGGTAAGCTCACCGAGTTACAAGTTTGTATCTTGATACATTTTGTTTACTGAGTTAAAAGCATGTATTTTGATACATTTTGTATACTGAGTTACAAGTATGTGTCTTAATACGTTTTGCATAAACACTTCTTGCCTTGGAAGGCTAGTGCTAAAATCATGTCCAGGGCTTCCATACACACAGGAGGCAGGTAAAAGCTTGTGCACCTTACCTCCTTTGGTAGATAGGCACAATCCTGCTGAGTTAGACTAAGCAAAGCCTCTCTCACATACACTTTATTACATCCACAGGGCACTTTTTTTAAAACCAAAAAGAAAAGGGTTAACTTATGAAATGAGGTTTGGGAGGAATCAAATCTGGACATGAGAAAATTCTCTCTTCCCAGGCTGTAGTACAATGTCGGTCCTTGGAAACAGTAAAGCCTGCTTCTGCTAAGTTCTTTGCACTACAGGCAAAGTAACATTAGGAATATCAATAATCACATGAAGGAAAAACTTAACTCACCCAACAGTTGATGAGGGTCTCTGGCTGTAGAACTCTCCTCAGGAAGCAGCCCTCATCCAGGAGAAGTTCTCCCTTCAGATAGCAGCCCTTAAACAAGCCCAGGGAGGGGTGCACCCAGGGACACACAGGAAGCACAGGTCAATTGCTTGCACCTATGTATCCTGAGCCAGCCACCCCCTTCACCAGGTACTCCATTATCAGTTCAGGCTGGGACATAACAGATCTCCCTACATGAAGTTTAATAAAACATTAAAAAATAAAGCAGAATATTAAGATTGGGGCCCTTTAAGCAGAAGCTGCATTTTCTTATTCCGGTGCATCTAAAACATTCTAGATCAAGTACCAAGGAGCAAACTAAGTAGACAGAAAACAGAAAGTGAAAATTTAACAGTTTAAACATTAAAAATGAATAATCAAGATGTAAAATGTTATCTCCCAGTCTAGGAAAACATAGTTGATTTCTCAGTCCATGCCTGGTGGCAAGATAGCCTCTAGCCAGCAGAAGCTGGATGAGCTCTTGCTCATATGCAAGAGAGAAGTGATCAAGCAGCATGATGCTAGTGTTTCTTCTCTTTCATGTATGCCCAGTGACGGTGAATCATGAAGCTGCACCAGCAGAGAACTCCTCAAAGGGAGCAGCACACAAGCTAACAGAGCCCAGATTGTGGACAAACTGAATTTAAACAGCTCACCACAAAAGACTGGAGAAGCAAATGCTTCTGTTGTGTACTTCTACTTATGATCTTCAGAAGAGAAATATAATCAGTTGGAAAAATAAAGGAACAGTGCAGCAGTAAGACTAAGAAGCTCACTTAATGACAAAAACAGCAAGATTCAGCACTGGTCATGAAAAGCTTCCTTTCCCTGCTGAAGTTTTGAAGAAGCTGTCCTTGCTTCCATGCAGCTCTCCAGTTCTGCATAGTGCAGCCAGTAAAAACACATACACTCCAAGTTGAGCAGGCTGTTTTATCTCTGGTTTGTTTTTATATACATACATGAACAATACCCACAATTCTGGATTACACTTGAAGTGGGTTTGATTCAGGCTGATGATACTACACCCAAGCTACATTCATCTCCCAATTTGCTTTTTGGTAATGGTGCATGGATTTGCGCAGGAATTCTGCTAGTGCAGTACAAGAGCAGGACTGACAAACAGCAGCCAAAGGATCCACCAGGAAGCAGCTTGAAGCCCAGCAAGTTTTGGTCTTCAAATTAAGGACACTGTACACGTGAAAAAAATTGAGGTTGCCTGACAGTTAACTGCAGGTGAGCACCTTGCTAAGTCTCACCACCCAGCCCTCCACCCCACGCTGTGCAGCTCATCACATCAGCCTGCTATAGACACACTCAGCTTGGAAACACTTTTCATCAAAGTAAACTGGAAAACTGAACAGTTCATTACTAAACCAAACATTCGGTAGATTGTTCCTAACAAAGGTCCAAGGTTTTCAGGTGCAATAAGGTTTCGGCTTTGGATTTTTGAATATTGAACTTGGAACACCTGAAAGACATTAGCTTCTTAACATACCTGCTCTCCTTCCTTCAGTGACATTGGAAAGTCAGACTGCTGAGATGCCTTGGGTTTGGAAGATAAATATGGTATCACACCCATCGATTTTAGACAGCGCACCTTCCACTGATGTGATTTAAATACACAACACACATCTGACTGGATACTTGTTTATGCAAAGCTTCCCTCCCCCCACTGTATTTAAAGCTTCCATCTCACCATGCTTTAGATCCTGCCCTATCATATTCTGCTTACATTGTATTTGAATGTTCTTCTCACTCAATAGATGTTATATATGATCAGTTTTAATTTGCCTGCACATATTGCAGTAATATGTTTTCATACCTACCTTGGTTTAAGGGACCAAGTCAGGAAAACCACCAGGCACCTGGGAGGAGAGTTAATGCTCACTAACAGCTGACAGAGGAGAGCTCAACTTCGTGAATAAGAATGTGTCAATGCATTTAAAGCTAACAATTAACCTGGTTTTATTTGCTACTGAATACTAGTTAACTAGTAACTTCCTCAAAGAGGAAATATTTCTTCACTGTGCCAAAATAATTTATAGCAAATACTGAATTTTGTGAGTTATACTAAATCAGTATTCCCTGTTTGGATGATTTGTAATTTAAAACAAAAAGAAAAAAACAAATGTTGTGAAAGAGTGTGAAACATTTTCTCAAATATTTCCACAAGTTCCTGACAGCAAAAAATCACTCCCTAGATATACCTAATTAAAATAATATAATCACAGGGGAAAGTGGAAGATTGAGATAATGGCAATCAAAAAGTGGAAGGGGATGTTTTCCAGAAGTAGCTTTGCTAGCAACTTCTTTCCAATAGGACAAAGATGCTATGCTAAGGCTTTCTGCTGTTTGTAAAGCAGTAACCAGAAGATTTCCAAAAGTGAGAATGTTCCCTTTCAGGGCTTAAAGGAAAAAAAAAAAACACAAAAAAATGACTAATGTTTCTTTGAAACCATTGCTCTTTACTGGCTGTATGGTTCATAGGCACTGCTGCTACAGCAATTAACAACAGTAGACCCAATTTTTCACTGTTAATTGCTTTTTAAATTTTGATTTCCAAAACAGACTCTACTCCTTGAAGTGATATTGTATGACCTAACTCAGCCATGACACAATCCTTCAGACAGTCCTAGCATGTTTACAACCATAAATAACACACTAGCTCTGCCTGTGACAGCATGACAGCATTTGAGAACAGACTGCTGCACCTATGTTTCACTGTTGGTTTTAGATTAATACTAATCCTCAGTGGTCTTTTGGTCAAAAACATTTGAAATAATTTTCTTAGAGATTTAGTTTGTCTTGAAAGAAGCAAGTTCACAGAAGTGCTCCCTCCAGCTAAACTCATGTTAATAAGCATTAATCCTTATTAAATACATAATTAGGCAATTTTTACATCAAGCTCTAAAAATCAATTTTGCCCAGAACTAATTTCAAGGTGCCAGCTCTACAGTGATCCAGGTTATACTGCTTATCCTTCCTAAAAACAGGCATGCCAAAATTTCTTCTCCTCTGGAACTTTCTAACCATTTCAAAAGACACAATAAGGGTCTGGACACTTTCCCAGCCAATTCTGGATGAGGTTATCTGAGTCCATTGCTTTCTTTTTTTCCTCCAAGACGCACATCTAAAAGTTGCTGAGTTGCTATTGAGAAGATAACACTTAAATTCTGCCTAGCATCAAATCCTGTCACTCCAAAGCAAGACACCAGGTGCTGAATAACTCGCATTGCAGTACAGCTACAGATGCATCTAACATGTTCCCTCAGTCTGTGCTAATTACGTTTAGCACTGCTGTTTTCCCTGATCTTACATTTTCAGCAAGTGTTTTGTTATCCTTTTCTTCTGATCTCACAACCCGCTTTAAACTGTCCAGAGGAATCTATCACACACCTGATAACAGAGCCCACCTCTAGGCTGCCCATCTCACCTAGCTGCTCTCTTCTTTCACCTTCATTTCTGTATGGACTTGTGCACTTGCCAAGGCCACTGCCCAGCATTCAATTTACAACCAATCATCCCTGCAGACCCAAGTGTCATGGCTGAAACAGCGTGGTTCACTGCCTTGGTTCCTTTCCTCATTCTCATCCAGTATTCCCATCTCCTGATTACTGATTTGGCCATTGCACTTCAGTTCGTTTAGTGCCTTTCATCATAGAATCATTTGAGTTGGAAGGAACCTTTAAAGGCCATATAGTCCAACTCCACTACGATCACCAGGAACAGCTACATCAGGCTGCTCAGAGCCCTGCCCAACCTGACCGTGAATGCCTTCAGGGCTAGGGCATGCACCACATCTCTGGATATAACCTGCCCCAGTGTCTCACCAACCTTACTGTAAAAAAAAAAAAAAAAAACAAAAAAACAAAAAACCCTCCTCTTCTAGTTAGAAACCATTTCCCCTTGTCCTACCACAACAGACCCCCCCCCCCCAAGGTGTCTGTCCTCTTCTTTCTTATAGCCTGCCTTCAGAAACACTAAAGCTGCAACCAAGACTTCCCAAGGGTATATTTCAGTAGTAGAGTACCATAACAATGATCAGACAAATGATGTCCTTCATTTAAAACCCCCCAGTAGCAAAAAGCATCTTCAGTACAGGCACAGACTCTTATAACGTGTATTTTAGGGCAGCGATTCCCCTTGTTTAGAAAGAAGGGGAAAGAGAGTTGGCTGCAGAGCCTGGGGTGCATTTCACACCTTGGGGATTACCACAAAGCTGCTGCTCCATCCCCAGGTCCTTGCCCCACTGTACCCCCATCAGTAGCACCACACTTGCCTCATACAATGGAGCCAGAAGGGGTTGAGGAGCTAATTTGGGAAGGAGAGATGGGATAGCTGCCAGTTTCCTTGCACCCATATCACTACCAACATCAGGGGAAATGCATCCTGAGCATCTCTGCTTAAATTTAAGGAAGGGCTCTGGTGGTGCTTCCATATGAGTAAAAAAGAACAGCAGCAGCTCTGTTTGATGTGAGCAAAAAGCAGCACCAGCTGCTCTCCCACAGGCTGACGTACAACACAGGTCAGTCAGCTCATGTGACCACATAAGCAGTCACCAGTAGGGTATTTTGTACATCTGTGCTGCTCATATAGTCTGCTCATGGGAAATGTCTTTTTCTGCTAACAAGAACTAAGTGCATACCTGAAATAAGGCACTGGCAAGAAGAAAGGTAATAGGCAAGCATTGCTTTGAGGGCAAATCAAACTTCACATGGAGCTGCACTTGTTTGCATCATCACAGCCACACAGCTAGAGGTTGGGGATCACATAAGTAGCACATGGTTACAGGACACTTAACCTTCTCCTACACGTCGTCTTTTGGATATTTTAGATGTTTCAGACTGGGTCAGATACCATAGAAACTGGAATTGCACACTGGGACACCCAGAAGTTTCAGGAAGCTATTTGATATACACTAAGAGGATTTTCACACAAGTGAGATTCCCCCTCCTCTCCCTCCACTCGTCTTCCTTTTTTTTTTTTTTTTTTTTTTTTTTTTTAAGAGATTAGGTGTGATATAGCATTCAAATACAAGGGAACAACAAAAATCCAGCTGTGGCTCTTGCTCAGATAACTTCAGTGAAAAGAGATGAAGAGCAGGATCAGAACATCATTTGTCTAGGTGCTGTTTCATGAGAAGGATCGTTTTCTCAGGAGCAGTTACTTCTAAACGCAGAAGTTTCTGTGGTTTTCAGCTTCAGCAAAAACACAAAGCTAAATGAAAATGGAAATCACCTATTTTAGAAAGGTTTTTTGAAGCAGAAGTACTTCTCTGTATAGAACAGAGGCATCAAGTCCTGAAAAGGAGTAAAATATGTTAATTGAGTGAACTTTCCCACAAGTCAACTGAAGTTTTATTTATTCTCCCTTCAATTCACAGGAGAGACTAATGTTTAAAACCTACATTCCTTAAAATGAAGGGAAAAAATCTGCTACAAAAATACCCACCCAGACACTATTGTTAAAAATATATAAACACTGAAAACTAAAACTAAGACTAGAGCTGGAGCCTACATATTTAGATTTGGGAAGCGATACCCACAGTGAAGATGAGGATACCAAGGTGCTTTTTCCAGGCTGCTCCCCCACCACTACGAAGGCAGCATTGTCTCTGCTTTTATTTTCTTCACAAACAGAAAGGGTTGTATACATTTCTTTAATGGACTGGAGATGTTGAATATTTGCCTTACACTCTGCTGTGAAATCAATTGGACAAGTTTCACGTATATGTATACTTGGGATTCACTTTTTCTAATCTAGCTTCCATTCCCTTCCACAACCTGAAATATGGAGCAAACGGAATATTTTCCACTGATGTCACTGGGATTTGGAGAACAAGTCATCAAAACGAGCAAGTTTCTCCACAGTAGAAGCAGCAGCTCCGTTAATTATTTACTCAATTCTAAGTCAACCTACCTTCACACCTCCCACTTACTTTAATTTAAATTTAGTAGCTTGCCTTCACTGGTTTCCTGCACTCAAAAGAGCTGAGCTATTTACTGAAGCACTCTCTTTGACAGAAATTCCAAATAGCAAACAAATCCTCACCGTCTTAAATTCAGTGGCAAAGGCACGTGGGCAGTGTATGAGTTGCCAGCAGTAATTTATCCACATCACACCTCTTAGTCTACCATTATTCCTAACTTTCATCATTCACTGTATAGTCAGAGCGTAGTTATCAAAAGTAATCACAGAACCACAGAATTGTAGGGGTCAGAAGATGAGCTCCAGAGAGCATCAAGTTCAACCTCCAAATAAGCTTATTTACTTTCTGAACTGAAATAATTAACACGTCTTTGTCCTGTTTGCATTTTTCTTTTGGAAAATGGCAGTTAGCACTGCAGAACAATGATCTACTAAACTCTTATAAGTGACTGCTTCTCAGAAGGGTAATATCCAAAACCCCCAATCACACATCCTATGCATGTGTATACATTTAAGCACAACACTAAAATAAACAAGAGCACTTGCTTCCACCAGCAGGTGGCTAGGAGGCTTGCTGTGAAACCTTCCTGCCACCAATAAATGAGCATTTTCAGTTCCAGCTGGCTGGCAGGGACTCTCCTGGCAGTACCTTCCCCTACAGCACATCTCTGTACCACATTAAACACACCCAGGCCTGGTTCCAAGTGATGCTCTGACTGCCACCCCCAGGAGGGAATCCCCACCTGCAGTTGCAGAAGTGATACTTCTTAAATCTGCTTCAGACTTTTTACCACAAAGCACGTTGCATGTCAGCATGACTCGTACGATGGAAGCAAGGCACATAGCCCTGGGTGGCTGCACACTGCAGCTCCCCTGCAGCAAAGGGGAGCCCAACATTTTTGGAGAGCAGCATTTACCTCAGCCATCTGATCACTGCCCTCTGAGATAGCTCAGCACTGACAAGTGCTACAGAGCAATCCCATGGTTTAATGCTTTACCCACAAGTGGCAAGGATGGAAAGGAGG